TTATAGACGAAATAAAGTGTTATTATTATTATTTATTTATTTATTTATTTATTTTTATATTTATATTTATTTTTTTTTTTTTGGGAGGGGACTAATAAAATAATATTCCCGGGGGCGCCAAATTTTTAAATACGGGCCTAACGGTAATTATTCTTCTTTTTTCAACCCCCCCCCCCTGAAATTTTTTTCTGCGTCCGCTCCTGATTCATAGAGATTATTACCTTATCGTCAGCATAGTCTGCGACTATGTGTCTTATGTAATTGGTTGATCTGAGACAAATATGTTGTAAAGAATGGGAGATAGAATGCCATCCTGGAGGACTTTAGCCCTTATATTGCCAATACTTGATATGGCCGAGCCGTATCGTATTTGAAAGGCCGTTCAGTTAGATATGATTTTATAAGTAGATAGAAGGTTGAAGGAAGAAATGTTTTTAATTTGTTTAAAAGACCCTCATGCCACACCCTATCAAAGACTTGTGAAATGTCTAAAAATGCGGCTGTGCAGTATAATTTTTTTCCTGAGAGTAAGATCGTCAACTACCCTATGCAATTGATGGACCATAGAATGGAAAGTGCAAAACCCAAATTGATAGTTTGGTAGTACTTTCTTATCAGCAGTAATGGGTAGAATACGTTTGAGTATTAGTTTTCCTAGTATTTTTGCTAGAAAGGGTTGATAAGAATGTTTTTTTTCGGCGTTGAAGGTCTTTATATATAGTACATCCCTTGTAGTTGGCTGGATGATTTTGAGAGCAGAGAACCCATTTTGTAGGATGATCTCGTGAGTTAGGACATTGAGATGAGTGATGATCCGAGCCGCAGCGAACACATCGAGGTTGGTAGCCACAATATGCTTTAGTGTGGCCATATTGTTGACAATTGTAACCCTGACTTATAGTTTTTGGTTTGTAAGGTTCTTCAATTTTTATTTTTGTATGTAAAAGTGAAGACAATTTAAAAATTTCTATAGATCTCGGTGTTGGTATTAGATCCACGAAGAATAGTGAAAGATGGTTTTTTTTAATTTTGTGAAGGACATAAATGACTTGTTTTACTTCAAAGAAACGAACTTCAAGTTCTTCTTTGATTAGATCCAGTGAAGTAGTCGGATGAAGATTGCGAATTACAACGCGTAGTGATTTATCCTCCTGAAGCTGATACGTGTGATATTCATATATCTGTGCTTTTTCAGTTTTTAGGTAGTACACTAGATCCCTGTATGCGGTTGGATTTGCAGTTTGTACTTTCAGACGATCGGTCTAGGATTTACAAATAAAGTAGTTAACACCAATTATTTCAATAAGATTTGAACATAAGATCATCTACATCCTTAATGAAAATAGGAAGAGGAAGTTTAATAATTTAATTTTCAATAGTATGTGAATTAACATCAGTTGGGACATTTTCAGTTGATTCATTTTGGGTGAGCGCTTCGTAACGATTAAGAGAGTCAAATATGTTTAATTTTTTTTTTTTATTTATTAGGAGATGGCATTTCGGAAGGTGCGTTTGAAGAACTAAAATGATTTCGTTTATTTGTTTGTGTGGTCCATTGATCAGTGTTTGAGGAGTTTTCATTTATGTTCGAGTTTGGCTTTCGGCATAATTAAGATATATAATTATGTTTATCTGTGTCGTTGTGCCGACCCGAGATAAGGCGACGCACGTCGTAAGTATTTCCAGATATGTCAATAACCTTGACGTCCAACAGTGTTTTAAACGATCGTATTTAATTTATATTAAAGTTTTTACGTAAGCATTTATGTTTTACGCTAATTATATGTAAAAAATGTATACTAACCGCACAAAAAAGTAAGACAGTAAAAAGAAAAATACAAAAATAGTAACATACATATATATATATATATATATATATATATATATATATATATATATCCACTATAGTGGATTTTCTTTAAAGAGATAAGGGAGCGATTGAAGTGCGTGCTTATCGAACGATTTCCAACGCGGGACTGTTTTATAAATTGAACCAATAATTCCTAATTTCAATCATTTTGAGTATATGGACATCGTTTTATCTACCCAAAATGAGGTAATAATCCTTTATTTTACTAACTCTATTATATAAAAATATAAATACAACATTAAATTAATACAAATCAACAAGTTATTTTTCAAGACAAAACATGAATTAAAAATAAACATTTGTTTCTAAAACGTTATAATTACTTATTTACTTTACTTTCATTTTATTAAGCATAAACAACAAATCATATTTTATTTTTGTATATTATTTTTATGAATTAGATGTTAGGTCTAAATAGTTCGGTTAATATAAAAAGTAATTGTTAATGATAATTTAATTCTTAATTTGATTTCTCAAATGGTTCTAATAATTGTAAGTACTTTTTTTAGTTTTTAAGTGTCATTGTTGGGTACAGTTCGATAATTGATGAGAATATAGTCTCAAATATTCTAGAATATTCAAGATGGACAGGTACGGTCTTCTTATCTATCATAGATATTGTCTCGAATATTCTAGAACTGACCTATCGTTCTACCTGTCTTCTAACCCGGTGGCGGCCGGCTATAAATTCACGCCGTCATCACCAGGTAGACACAGTTTATTTTAATCCGTAGTGCGATTATATTATTACCGTCGTGTTCGGTTTTTTTTTTTTGTATATGTATGTTGTTTGTTCTTGATATTTTATATCCGGCATCAGTTGAAGCGTGGTCACCCCGACCAATTTTGGATTCGGGACCTCGCTCAAACAGTTATCGTTGAAAAAGTTCTAAAAACTATAGTTTTTTTAAGATGTTTAATGTTACAAAAATACAATTTAAAAAGTTTATCTTTACCAGGATACTGTTGGTTTTAAATATAATTAAAAAAGTTAAAATATTCTAATTTTAATCATAGGTAATTACCAAAATATGTATGAGAAGTGCATAAACTCAATTTCAAAATGTCACATTGAGGACTTCTGTTTTTTAATAATTATCATGTGTTGCAAGGGCTATTTTAAAATGTTAGACTATTTCTGAAATTCAGTTCTTAAAACTCGTATTATGCGAATATTCGCTATTCATAGATACTTGCCTGTCAGTGGGAAGGCGAAAATTCAGTATTTGGTTTTTGTCCCATTCCTGTAGATTATCGGATTATTTGACAGGAGTCGAAGGAAATTCTATTATAAAAATAGATGTTTGTCGATCCATTCCCACGATGCGACGATTATTTACCATTAAGTCTCATCAGTACCATTCAGTACCATCCAGTATCAAAACTGTATTATTTTATCGTAAATAGTAAATCTCAAAGCGATCACATATTGATTGCAGCAAACGTTAGGTGAATAATTGTATTTGTGATTTGTGGAACTCGTTGGAACGGTCTATTCGGCTATTTGTGTAAATTAACAATTATTCGGTATATAATAGAGAAACCGGCTTTAAACACTTAAATTGATTTATTGTAAAATTATTAAATTATTTAATTAATTTATTAAAATGGCTAATTATAATTAGAACAAATGACTTAAAATAACTTAAATCATTATAATTTTTTTTTTGTTATTAAATAATAATAATAAATAAATACATTTTATTAATTTTTATAATTATTTTAGTTTTCTTAGAGTTTTTAGATCCACACGAAAAGATTTTTATTTTTCAAAATATAATTCATTATATAAAGCACCTAAGTTAACTGAAGCCCAAAATTTATCAGTATCTGCTTTTGATGGTATATTTTCATATACCGCTATATATGAACCATCAAGTGTATATTTGTTTAATGTAAATTTTAATTGATTTTATTCTTAATTTATAGATACCACAGAGTTTGGAAATTTCTATGTTTAAAGCAAACAACGTATGATTAACATAATACTCGTAAGTTACTATGGATTATAATTGTCAAATGTATTTCTCTACATAAACTTACTATCCAATTATGTAGCTCATTTTTTCGTATAATTTTATGCTTAATATTTTATAGTAGTTCTAAAAATCTTTCGATAAAATCTAACTTTAAAATTTACAAAAATATACACATTTTTCTAGAAATCGATATTTCGCTTAACGAAAGCTTATACTTGTATTGTGTTCATAATTTTCTATTGAGATTCAAACCAATTTGATAACTTATTTTTTTCATCGGTAGTAAATGTAAATGTTTAAATAACAGTCTTAACAGTTTTTTGGTTTTAAAATCATTTTAATTTACGATAGATAACGCTGGAGAAAAAATAACACAAACAATGGTCAACACTTTTGTCTAATAATTTTGATATAATAACATTCAACGAACATATATAAAATTTCAGTGAATAGACAGTAGTTATTTTATGTTGTTAGATAAATAATATTAACACGGAACACAATTATAAAATATGCAACGAGTATTCGAATTTTGGCCTGTTCATCTAGACTGCACTAAATCATAGTCAACGGAATGAAAATAAAAGCTCAAATGGCTTATGTTGTATTTATACCATCTAATAAAATTTATGTTTTTATATTTTATGGGGAATTGAATTCAACTAAAATAAAATTGTTATAATTTTCATCGACGATTAATTAATATTAATAAAATGTTTTTTATTAAAATTATAATGTAAATAATGGGTATGACTAATAAGCGTACACAGAGTTTTTCGTTTTTACGTCTAGAATATACAAATTTATCGAGTGAAACATTTGTTTTTTTGGTCAATTAATGTGTTTTTGGAAACATTATTTTTTTATAATTTCAGTTCATAACTGCACAACATCATGTTTTATTTTTTTATGATATCACAAATTTTTAATTTAACATTTTTAAGTGGAATATTTCGCTGAATAATATTATTTATGAGTATTTAATGTTTAGATGAGCGAAAAGTACAGAACCTTTTTTTGAGGTGTTACCATTAACTTTTTTATCGAGACTTAAGTAGTGCAAAGAGTAGTCCAAAAGAATTACATCGCATGAACTAATTCATGTGGTTCAACAGCTTCTTTTAGAATCTAAAATAGAAATATTTACTTACTTGAAATATGTAAGAATGGTTATTGATAGAAGTAATGCAATGAACGAAACCAAGTAACCGGTTTGATAAATTTGATTGATCCGCTGTGTCCACTGTAATATAAAAATAATAATCTTGTTTTAATATATAAACAAAAATATAATACATATTGTTATAAAGAAAAATGAAGTTTATATTCTCTATATGTAGTTAAAGAACTCAAATATATAACACTGTAATAATTAATGAGTTGATTAAAAATTGAATAATTATCACCAGAACTCGGGAGTAAAAGTATTTGCTTATTTTTATGGGTTGACTTAAAATGTAGAGTGCTATAGAAGTATATGTCAAGTTATATCACGTACAATTATAAAATTTGAAAGTGCCTTTTATTGCTTTTTTCAGCAATTTTTTAAAAAAAATGCTTATATCCAATTTTTCTGATTATTTTTGTTTATTTGACTAGTTTTTTTTTTACGTTTTTATAGTTTTCTCCTGCAAAGTCATTTTGATGGAATTAAAATTAAAAATAATTCTTATCTACGTTGTCACGTAGTTCGTCGCCGTCCAAGGCATCGTTGTAGGTTAATAAAGATATTGCAACTCTGAAAATAGGACTAAGTGTCAAATTTTAAAATGATTAAGAACAGAGAGAATAGTTTACATTTTATTTTTCAGAAAAATCCCTTAGAAAATCCATAAAATCTTTAAAGTCTTGAAAATAAAGAATTATTTTTATTTTGCTTGAATTTTTAGTAAGAATTTTATAGTTTTTTTTTTTTTTTTCAATAAATATTTTTGCTTAATTTGAATTTTTTTGAATGCTTATTTTAGTGCTTATAATGATATTTTTAAACGCTTTTTTAAGGACTTATTTTAATAATTTTAAGTGCTATAAGTCCCGATCCCTGATTATTACTATTAAATAAAACAATAATATCGGAGTTTGAATAATTCTTTTCCTAAATAGCATACCATATATTATTGTATTATTTACAATGTTTGATTTGGAAAAAAATAATAGATATACTTTAATGACACATAGCAATTTTGCGTCCCTATATAATTAAAAACTTAAGCAAACTGTGGTCATCCTTTGATACCTTTGAACATACTATCACGAACCAACGAATAAAGAAGTAAACAATTAAAGGTATATTTAAAATGAAAATGTATGCTGAGCTTATTGTTTTGTCATTATTGTTAGTTTATTACTGCTATGTTTCTTGATATAATTTGTAAACATATGAATATAATTTAATAATGCTCTTTAGTCGTTGGTATACATTTCTCGATATATCCGATTATAGCTACGAGAAATGTACTCGTATATATGATATTCATATAATTTATTGAAAAAAATTAATTACGGTTGGTTAACACTTCGCTAATAATTTACTTAATTTAATTAATTAATTTCGTTCAGACGTCTAGGAGAAAACTTACGTATACTTTATTGCACTATATAATATATCGGTGTAATTAGTATAGTATCATTGTTTATAGAATAAACCATTCTTCAACCAATGATATAGCATCAAATATCTTATTATACACGAATCGTAATCAATAAGTAAAAGATAACTAGACATTTCTCAGAACATTTTGTTTGGTAAACATTTACCCATTACTATTTTTTATTAATAACGAGCAATTATAACCTGTTCAATATATATATTCCATTGTTGGATTTTGAAACACGAAATCTAATAATTTTTACAAAATAAGTACAAATACTATATGTATATTTGACAGAATCTGTGGCCAATCGTAAACGCATTACCTATTAGTATATATTGTAGTTAATTTGTTGAAACAATGTACTTTGTACTTTAACTGCAGGGAAATTCTAAATCATTAGTTTAAATGTCAAAATGAGATTTGTCTTGTTTCGAGACACATATATATTGGTTATAAGATCTCGGGTAATATTATTGTAACATCGTAGAAGTCTGTGTCTACGATTTATTCGGAATATGTTTTTTAAATTATCTTTTTTAATACTTAAATTAACACAAGTTACCATTATTCTGATTATCGGACTGGATATAAATATCTAAATCTAATAATATTGAAAATAAAAATTATTGTGGCTAAAAAAAATTGCGATTGAATAAGTCGTAACTTAAAATCATAGTTATATCAAATTTTTATTTATATTTACATTTTACATTTATTTAATATATTATTTAAATAAATATTTTCAACTATTTTTACTATTTTTTTATTAATAATGTCTAAACGTGTACATTTGAGGGGAAGTTTAAAAAGGAAATTAAAAAATAACGCATTGAAAAAGAAAAACTACTCCCACGAATAAATTATTTTTTGAATAGAGATGCTCTTGAAATAATTCAAGTTTAAGTACGAATGTAAAATCTAAGCCTGCGGAAACAACTGATATTGTGAGTAGTTTAAAATAACCAGTCTATAATAGTTTAAATAAAATAAATAAAACCGAATTGTTGTTTATTCAGTTATTCAGTACTATTTGACTAAGTCGAAAGTATCGATAAAGTGAACGTATTTTAGTATTATGGCTTAAAACTTAAAAGCTTTTTTTTTATTATTATTGATAGGCACAATCTTTAATTCCATCTACGATTTTGACTATTCAAATTTCTAATATTAATAAAAATTTCGAAAAATCAACTACTGTAGATTGTGTGAATGATGAAACTAAATGTTCAATAAACCCAGATTTATCAGAAGCGATACAGTCAATGACCATAGAAGATTTTCCAAAGGACAAAGCTTTTTTTACAAATACATTGAATACATTGGATAACATTTTTATTATTTCTAAGGGACCGTGTCAACCAGATGGCCCATTTCCGAAAAAAATTGTTGGTAACAAATATCGTTCATTTTCTACAGCACATTATAATGAAAAAAGTCAAGGGTTGTAAATGGAGTTGTTACACAAAATCACTTGATTTAGTTTATTGTCAACCATGTTGGTTATTTTGTACATCGAGTTCATGGGCCAATGGTATGAATGATTGGAAACATATTTCGGATAAAATTAAATTGCACGAAAAAAGTTTAACACTTGTACTATAGATCGATGGGAAAAAATAATACTTTATCTGAAGAATTAAAATCTCAAATCAGCATAGAAGTTGGATTTTGGAGGCAAGCCATAAAACGTATTATAAATATTACTCTGATGCTAGGATTTCAAAATCTATCATTTCGAAGTCACAATGAAAAAATTGACAATGAAAACCGTGGTAACTTCTTAGCAGTCATCGATCTTCTTGCGATGTATGACCCTATATTATCGGAACTTTTACAACGAGGACCTAAGAAAATCAATTATTTAAGTACCACAATATAAAATGAAATAATTGTTATGATTGCGAAATGTGTAAAAAAAATCTATAATTTCTGATGTACAATAAGTTCCTTTTTTTCGTACATAACTGATAACCATACATTAGAAAACAGGATCAAATGAGTCAAATAGTTCGTTATGTAGTCATTGAAAAAAATAAAGACCGATCAAACTTAGGATAGAGGAATCATTTCTTGGATTCTGTTTGTTAAATGATTATTTAGGATCCGGATTTGTCGATCAAATAGTAGAAAATATAAAAAATGATGGATTAGATATTAGTAAATTACGCGGACAAAGCTATGACGGAACAGCTTTTATGGCTAGAATTTATAACGGTGACCAAACAAAAATAAAAGCTCATTGTCCTCTTGCAGAGTATATTCACTGTAACACCCATAATTTGAACTTGGTTTTAAATGATACTATGACTGCCTCAATTGAAATTCAAAATTTTTTTTTCCATTGTATAAAAACTATATGTTTCTTTTGCATTAAGTGGAAAACGCTGGAAAATGTTTAACTGAAATTTTACTAGTTAGTGGAGTAACACTTAAAAAAATTTGCTCTACCAGGTGGTCATTATGCCATCAAGCTATTTCTCCAATTCAATATAATTTTCTAAATATTTTAAAAGCTTAAACAAAAATAGTATTATTGTCTAAAAATAAAAACGAAATTTCAGAAGCTAAACAACTTGTAAAAAGTCTTGAAAGTTTCAGCTTTGTGTTGATGTTGGTATTTGTAAGTGCTATTCTAAGAAAAGTAGATGGTGTCTCATAATTTTTACAACAGAAAGATATTGATTTTCACAAAGCTACAGGACTACTACAAACATTAACAAGTAACTTGAAAATGATAAGAGGAAATTTTTTTTGGTATGTTTCACAGGAGCTACAAATCTTTCGAAAACATGGGGCATAACACCAACATTTAAAAACCAAAGGCATAGCAAAAAAAAAAGTTTTTTTTTATGAGCTTTGTCAAAACCAAAAATTAGAATGACCTGGAAAAAATTTGAAGTTGAAATATTTAATATAACATTTGATCGTGGTACCAATGAAATGGAACGTAGATTTCAAAGTTTTAATTACGTTTCTCACTTTTTTAAATGCTTACAAACGAATTCATTATCTAAACTAAACGACGAGGAACTATACCAGGAAACAGAAATACTACAAAAAAAGTATGACCACGAAATTTCTCCAGACTTTGTATCAGATTCTATCTTTTAGATGATTTTTTAAGGATATAATATTGAACAAGTCAAAAACAACAAAAGAAATTGCAGAAATGTTATTAATTGAACATTCTCCTCTTACAACAACATACCCCAATATATGCACTGCTTTTATTTTATATTTGACGTTACCCATTACAGTTGCAGCAGCAGAGCGATATTTCTCAAAACTAAAAATAATAAAAAATTATTTACGGAGTACGATGGCAGAGGAACAACTGAGTGGTTTGACAAATATTTCCATTGAGAATGGGCGAAAGACGACAGTTGAATTTAGAAGAAGTAATTGACAAGTTTGATTAAATGAAGGCTCGAAAAGTTAATTTTTATGTATAATACTATGATATAATATGTTTTTATTAATAATATATGTAATAAATAATTATATAATAAATATATTTTATAATTATTATTAGCTCATGAATCACTATTTAATAATTTATATTAGAATTATAATTAAATTTCTGTGTTAAAGGGAGCCTTTCTCTCTTATGGTCCTAGGGCCACCAAGTTTCTCACTACGCCACTGTTCA